TTGAACAATGATGTCAGAACAGTCATCGGTTTTGGACACAGATTTTGTACATTTTTAGTGACTCTGGCAAATTCCTCTAGATCTGCATCAAGTGGCAGCCCTACAGGGACACACACACAGAAGAAAAGTACAAGAAAGTGTTAATAAGAAATGTGGATGTTAACACACAAAAAAGTAATCTACTTCTTTCTGAGTAAAACAAAGTTTTATCTCACTCTGCCATTCTGCAGTTCTGCTTGTGTATGATAGAGGAATAGTAAAGCAATTTTCATTTCACTTTACCTATGTACTGGGCAATATCCAGCTCATACATAAGTTGAACCAAATGATTTACATGGTTTCCAAGAAGAATTTTTTTCAGTTCCACCCAAATCCTTTCTCCTGATATTCCAGCCAAACCTTTGGCATTTTCTTTAATTGCTTGCAGCGTACTAGATTCATGAACATCAGGTTTCTCTGCGATTCTTCCATAAAACCTGCCCAAATAAAACATCTGTATGCTAGAATGAGCACAATTATTCCATTTAGAATCCTAGAATTGTTTAGCTTGGAAACAGACATTTAAGATCATTGAGTTCAACCACTAACCCAGTGCTGTCCAGTCCACCACTAAACCATGTCCCCAGGTGCCACATCTACACGTCTTTAAAGTCCCTCCAGGGATGGTGCCTCCACCACTTCCCTGGGCAGCCTGTTCCAATCCTTGGCAACCCTTTTAGTGAAGACAGTTTTCCCCAATATTCAATCTGAACCTCCCCTGGTGCAACCTGAGGCCATTTTCTCCTCATCCTATCACTTGTTACTTGTGAGGAGATTTTATTTCTGCTATTCAGAGAACATCACAACAGTGTTAAATATTCCAACTTCAAGTACAAGAGGAAACTTTAGTACCTGAAATATCTTAGGATTCGTAAATAATCTTCCTGTATTCTCTCAGTTGCCTTTCCTACGAATCTAATTTTCTTGTTTTTCAAGTCTTCATATCCATTAAAAAAGTCATACAGCATTCCATCCAAACCTACAGGAAAAGGAGAAAAAAAAAAAAAAAAAGCAAGAATACTAGTTTACAAACATGGTTGGCACAACTGAACACTCCCATTTGAAAATACAGAAGCTGTGTGATTTGACTTGGTTTGTCTGATCACCTCATATATTTGTACAGACCTTCCAGCTGAGAGCAATAAACAAAACTAAAACAGATCAAGAGAATTTACTGGCTTAATCTGAAAGGTGGTATTTCATCTAACTTACTTCCTTTTGAAAGGACTTACCTAAAAACATGGAATTGATAGTCAGATCCCTCCTTTCAGCATCCTTTTCCCAGTCAGTGGTGAATTCCACCTCTGCATGTCGTCCATCAGTGACAACATCTATCCTAAGAGTAGTAATTTCAAAGTTCTGTTCATGGAGCTGAAAATCCCACAGACATTGTTACTTCAACATGACCATGAATACACACCAAGATCTGTATATCCTTTCAGCCTCATGTTTGTAGACAGTCAGTGCTCACCCTGGATACATGCAAACCAACAGGTACCATGTTTTCATACAGAGCAGACAACCAAGAAATACAAACACCCAAAATTAATCCCTGCATTACTGGTTTTCTAGGTAGCCTGCAGAGGATGGAACAAGAAGCAGAGAAATCAGCACGGCTGAGGAAGTGGCACATGGGAAATCAGGAGGAGGAAACACTGGGATCTTCCTCACATGATCTGAGAAGGTGGGGGGGGGGGGTCTGTATTATCTTTTCTAGTGATGGCACTGCAGCATGAACGGGTTATGCAGAGGTAACATGCATTAAAATATGGCAATAAATTGAATTTTGCAAAGAGTAATAAAAAAGAATTCACTCCATACTTTAAAGCAGGGTCTCGTTTAAACTCTTACTGCGATACTTTAACAAAGGAGCATGGCACCAGTTCTCTATTGGATACGCTGCACAAATATAGTTAGAAAAGATCCAAATCAAAACACAAACCAACCCTGGCAGTAATGGTTCCATGTTTTTCTCCTTTGTTATTGATGAGACGAACACCAGCAGATGTGAACATTTCCTTCATCTCTGCTGGCGTAGCTGTAGTGGCAAAATCTACATCTTGTGGTGTCATTCCGCTCAGTAAATCCCTCACAGCACCTCCTGCTATCCTTAGCTCATAGTTCTTCTTCTCAAACATTTCTGGGAAGGAAAAGAAAATTAGGAAGCACTCTCCTAAATGCACACCATAGCATGCTGTCAGACATACCCTTACCTTCTCACACATTAAGGTGACAGATGTGGGAATACATACTCAATACACAGTATGCATGCATGTATCTCACAGCTTCATGCAAAATGCACAAATCAGATACTTAGCTGAGCAACCACAGGCATTGCACCAGTCATTTCATTTCCTGCGTATTTTTCTGGGGCGTTTCTCATAATTTAAGTATTAACAGCTATATAATCAATACTGGGGTGCTCTGGGCCGCAGAGCAGTTTGAGCAGCCAGTAGCCAACAAGACAAAAGTGCACTGTTTACTTATGGCAGAGCACAGTGAATGGTGAATCCAAACTTCTTCAGTAAACATGCCCCACAACTGTCAGCTCCACCACGTCCTCTGAGGTGCTCAGAAGTTGCAGTGGCCTTATCTAAAGAGCAGCAGACACCTCCCAGGGCACCGCAGGCACCCAGGCTGCCCCCAGCACCATGACCGAGCCACAGAAGCCGCTGCCCATTTCCCTCGTAAGTGGATGAGGTGCAGGGACACCCTGACTCATCAGGGACAGGACGCAAACTGCAACGTTTGCGCTCATCGCCATGGCTCTCCAGGCCGCACTTCGTTCTCCGCACGCCAGCACAAGAGGAGCCGCTCCGGAGGCTCAGGCCCAGCCTCCCCGCGCTGTACTCACCTGCCACGCTGCGGAGCCCCTCCGTGAAGAGGGCCTGGAACTGTGGGGACTGCAGCCTCATGATGCCAGCCGCTCGGTGCCGCGGCCGGAGCGGCGGGACCAGCCGCAGCCGGGCCCTGCAGAGCAGAAGCAACAGCTCAGGCCGCATCTGCGGAGAAACGGCCACACGACACATCAGCCGCCCCGCGCCGAACGGGCCCGGCCTCCCCCCGCACGGAGAGACCCCCTTCCCCCGCAGGCACCGAGCTCCCCGGCCGTCCCCACCGCACCCACCCGCTGAGCTCCTCCGCGCTGCGCCGGCGGCGCTAGGCCCGAAGAGCGGGCTCCTGCCGCCCGGCTTTCCCCGGCGCCCTGAGATGACGTTGGCGCCGTTACGCGACGCCCCTAGGCCCTTCCGTCGCGGGGAGGTGGAGTCCGGGCGGTGCTGGGGGCAGAGCGGCGGGTGCGGAGCAGGGAGGGGCTCAGGCCGGGGCTGCGGGTGGTGTGCGTGGTGTGCGTGGTGTGCGATGTGGTGTGCGTCGTGTGTGGTGTGTGGTGTGCGTGATGTGCGATATGTGTGTGTGCGATGTGTGCGATGTGTGCGATGTGTGTGTGTGTGTGTGTGTGTGTGATCTGCGGTGTGCGTGGTGCGGTGTGCGTGGTGTGCGATGTGTGTGTGTGTGTGTGTGATCTGCGGTGTGCGTGATGCGTGGTGTGCGGTGTGTGTGTGTGTGTGTGTGATCTGCGGTGTGCGTGGTGCGTGGTGTGTCCCGTGTCCCGGGGCAGCAGCAGGGGCTTTGCCTGAGTGAGGAGCCGCGGGTGCAGCTGAGAGGGCTGCCTGCGCTTTACCCGCCGTGGTGGGGAAGCAGGTGGACGGGTGTCATGCCAAGGCATAAAGCGTGAACAAAGTGGTGTACGAAAGAAACAGTGCAAAAGACCTGCCGTGGCTTGATTTCAGGTTAGAGAAAAAGGATTGCAAAGGGGAGAAAAATGCATTCTGATAATGACACAACCATGACAAAAGAAATGGACTAATTACCCCAGCACACCACTTGAGAGATGGATTTAGTACCCACTGAAACTGCTGGTGTTGAGCTTGGAAGCTGCTGATCATAGAATCAAACTGATTTGGGTTGGAAGGGACCTTTAAAGCTCATCCAGTTCCAACCCCTGCCACAGGCAGGGACACCCTCCACTAGAGCAGCTTGCTCCAAGCCCCTGTGTCCAGCCTGCCCTTGAACACTGCCAGGGATGGGGCAGCCACAGCTTCTCTGGGCACCCTGTGCCAGTGCCTCAGCACCCTCATAGTGGAGAACTTCCCAAGATCTCATCTAAATTTATGCTCTTTCAGTAGGGTCATTCAGTGCTCCAGGTGGGGTCACACAAAAGGAGAGCAAAGGGGAATCCACTCCCTCAACCTGCTGGTCACGGTCACGCTGCTGGTCGTGCATCCCAAGGACACAGTTTGCTTTCTGGGCTATGAGTGCAGCCCATTTGCTGAACTATGTACGAGAAGCAATGTGGTATAGCTTAAAACATCATATTTATGTTTGTCAGCCTAGATTAATATGTTTTCTTTATTGTGAGAATATACATGGACAAGACAGGATAATGTGGGAGTCTGGGGGATGTGGTACAGTCTGAAGGTCTGTCCTTCCCTCATCACAAGTGTAATTTCACTGAAACGACTGTGGAATGACTGCTGTGTTTGGCCAACTGCATTTCCCAGAGGAGGGCCATGGCTCTCATTGCTCCTCCCTGTACTGCTCCTGCATGAAAGCATATTAGAAGGACTGGAAGGAATGAAGCCAGAGAAGGAACTCACCCAAATGCGAGTTAATTGGGAGCCTGGTACCCTTTGAAGCCTGAATAAATCTTTGTCTCAGCGTAAAGAGTTTTAGAGGTTTCTTGGTAACTGTGAAGAAATGTGTCACAGACCTACCCAGCCTTTTAAGCACCTGCCAAATCAGCACCGAGCTGCAGCCAGGAGTGTGCTTATGAGCACAAAAGGGCTTTTTTTTTTTTTTTTGAATGACCTATTAAACTGGATCTCAGACCTACAATGATCAAGTCAGGCCTGTATAAGAACATACATTTTATTACCCCTTTTTTTTTGGTGACCTTTTTATTAAACACATGCTTCACCTTTAGCAATGATCTCATTTCTACAGAAATATTCTGATGTAGGTATCAGAATATTGCCCAGTAATTACCTGTTCATTCAGAGACATGTGGACTGGCCAGACCTTAAGAACTCACCTTACTTACCTCTGTGCCTCATGGCAGGATTTGATTACCAACATCATTCCTGGTTGATGTTTGCCTTCAGATGACCCATCACAGAGTTTCTTTCAGTCCTTGGGTGCTCCATTGCCTGAAACTGAAAACTCTGAAACTCTGTCCAACACTGAATGCTTTCCCTGATACCTAACCTGAATTTTACTTGTTGTAATCTTCTAGTCACAGGCTGATGGGCTTTGAGAGCGTGTGAAAGCTTAAGGTGTTACATTTCTGCTCAAGTCTTCCCTTAACTTGTTTCCTCTCTGATACTCTTTAGGCTCTCATATCCTTTGCTGTGTACTGGCTTCTCTTTATCTGCTGCATGTCTTGCTTAAGTGCAGTATCTGAGCTGGGCACAGCGTGAGTGAGTGGAGGCTTTATCAGCGCTGTGCAGAGTGGAAGGATTACGTCATGTGTCTTGTAGAGGACACCGGTGTTTTGCTGGCATCATTTCACAAGTGCATGGCATTGTTTATGTCTCTTCAGTTTATGGTACTCCAAACCCCCAGATCCTTTTCTGCAGAACAGATACCTAATCAGTTGATTATTTAGAGCTAGTCATTTACAGTTGGCAATGCCTAATTGCAGTTGAGAGCTTGCCCATATTGAACTGCACCCAATCTCCATCAATCTGTCAAGAATTTTCTTAATTCTAGTCTTACCTTCAAAGCACACACCTTTCCCAGCTTGTGTCATCTGCACATTTAATAGGGTAGTTGCAATCCAGGTTGTTAAAGAATGCAAATCATTAGCCTTCTTCTTGTCCTTCCTGTAACTCCATTACATGCAGCCTCACTTTCTGCAGGGTCTTCTCTAGCCCCTGGGTCATTTCCTGCTGCTTGTCCTGCTTGTGAGCCTGTGTTCCCCAGCCCTGTGGATCACAGCCCAAAGCTCTCAGCTTGAGGTTAGGAGGCTCATCTTGCTCTGGTCCAGGCAACTTCCCAAAATGCCTCTGATGTTCACATGGCTGTATAGCAAGAGCATTTAACAGGATGGTATAAAACCATTGCAGGAAGCCTGCACAGTTTCCCAGCAACATTTGGATTTGATTTTCTAGGGGAAGAACAAATTGGGATGTCAGCAGTGGTCCCTAGGTAGCTGGCTATAGGTTATTTCTTTGCAGTCAGTCATTAAACATTCCTGCTCTTGCAAAATTATTAGAGGATTGTCAGACTATGCTATATAATTAACCTTCAACAAAGCAAACCCATTTCTGAGCTAAACTGTGTGCTTGTATGGAGCCTTTCATCTTGTGGTTAAATCTGTAGTTCCCTTTTTCAATGTGTGCTTGTCTAACTTATCTGCCATCATTTCTGAAGTACCTATCACATTTGTACTTGAAAGACAGCAGTTATAAAAGAAACCCACAGGAAGATGATCCAGAGGACGTTTGAACAAATGGAGCTGACTCTTCACAGAACTTTCGAGCCTTGCAGGTAACCTCCTGGGATGTTTGTTGTGGTTTGGTTTTGCCTTGCTGTGCTTTGTTTGAAAACTGCAAAGGTCCTGCTTTTCAAAGTCAGCTTTGCCTGGCACTGGGAAATGCACCTGGAATCTGCTTCTGACCCTTGCCTGTGAGACTGTGGAACATGTCAACTGTAAGTAAGAAAATCATTACCTCTTAGAGGCTGTTTTCTGTGGTTTGGATTTCTACTGCCCTTTCAGTATACCTGTTACAAAAGGAATAATATCATTTACCTTCTGCTTATATTTTTTAACATATGTAACCAAAACATAATATATCAAGGCTTTATTTATCCTGAGAACTTACTATATCCATAAATATGGATATAGGAACATAGTTCTCTTGTAGATTTCTAATTAACATCTTTATTTGAATACACTTATTTTGATCCTCTTTTTAGTAATTCCTCACAAAAAACCACACAGGATATCACAGACTGCAAGGTGTTCTTGTACAGTATTGTCTTACACATCTATGGAAATACCTCTTTGAAAAGCTGTATTTTCAATCTTAGTCTGATAGCAAGAAAAGGGAAAATAGCATTTTTGTAAACAAGGCAGGAAAAGATAAACTGAAAAGAAGAATAGGGATAATAATTGAAAACTAATCTGCATTACAGTAACATCCAGTTTCAGATCAGTAAACCACTGCTTAGAAAATGTTAGATCTGTGTCTAATAAGTGCATGATTTAGACAGCTAAAGTACTTTTGAAATTAGGGTTTTTTTAAAAGTACACAGAAAAGAGTGTGCCCAGGAAGAATCAGAATTCTTGCTTTTTGAGGACAAATTAAGCAAATCTATATGTAGCCAAACCCACTTTAAGTAAAACCGGGAGAGAACCAGCTTTTTCAGTTGCGCTAAATGCCAGAGCAGTCCTAAAACCAATATACTGGCATTACTCATGTTAGGAGACATGAATCTTAAGTAGTTGTAAAACATGAGGCTTTTTAAAGACTTTTAAAGAAAATAACTTGATCTTGTGAAGCAGAGGTCTGTGTGGTATCCAAGTGAGAGAATCCAAAGAACGGACTTTTCATGAATCGTAATGCAATAGGAAATCGTCTTGGAGGCACTGTCTAGGCATAAATGTACAAGGTGAATAGTAATTACCTGATTGTGATTCACATGCATTGTGTTAGAACCAAAGTGTCTGGCCAAAATGTCTTTCAGTATCCCAACATACATAAAAGCAAACCCTGAGTCCCCATAAATAATTTAGCAAACTCCAGTGGTTGAGTTAGCCTTGTGCACATTTGGGCTAGCAGAATAGCAGATACATACAAAATATGAATACAGGTAGTGAGTGGACCTGGACATTAGGAAACACATTGTATTGTTGATTATGTGTTATTTTAATGAGCTCAGCATTCATACACTATATTGAAAAGTAGTTACAGTGTAGCAGAAGTACTCCAACTGTGATCAATTGGAGTGCTTCCAGTCCCTAGGTTATTTATTGCAGGTTCAGGGAGAACTGATGGGTTAAAGATGCTTTCTCTGCTCATTACCATCTGAAAATATTATGTTCTCCATACAAGCAATTGCTGTAGCTCCCCAGGGAAGTGTGCGATTGGGCTGGGAGGGCCTATTTCTCTTTGGTTAAGAACACTTTGGAAAGCTGCTGTTCTGTATGTCCATGTTGTTTATATTAGGTTATAGATGAATGATTACACATCAATTTTTTTTTATTCCAGTGCCTCATGAAACAATCTAGGAAGCATAAAAACATGCTGGTTTTTAGCATTAAAAATAGTTGTTCATTTAATTTAGAAACAAACAAAATAGTTTCTCTTACACCCAATAATTAACACTGGAGAATTAGCTTTGAGGTGAGTACTGATGCTGCTTCTTTAGCAAGCTTTATTGAAACAGAAACTGGAAAGTAAATTCTAGTAAGTACCTAGTTTATATATAGTGGCAGCTAAAAATATGGTTATTTCTGTTCTTCGAGTAAATGGGACTCCACTGAAAGCCAATATACTTGAACCTGACTCACTCCTCTCCATGGAGAAATGCTCTAATTCAGCAGCAGTGACTGCTTTTCTGAACATCCACATGTGAGTGTTTTGAAACCAGTAGCTTTCTCAAGGTATGCTGGCAAAAGCAAAGGGAACAAAATGAAATGTGGTTGATGGAACTTACATTAAATTTAACAATGACAAGATGCATTTTGCTGCAAGGAAAGGAGAAGTGTCTATCCCTTGCAATGTAGCAGTTTAATTCCTTTGATCATGTGGATATACCATGCTCCATGGTTTGTGTGCTTAACTATTGGGATTGTGCTCCTTTTTAGGTATCAGCCTCTTTAAGATGGTGACAGATCCAAGTACTGGTACATGACTGTTCTAATATACCATTTAAAGATCATAGCCAGCATGATGAAAGTTTTTGTCATCCTCCTTTGGACAGCAAATTTCGTTCAGCCAAACATACTTCAGGCTGCAGGAGGTAAGGCATTTTCCTTCTACCAGTGTGTAGCTTTAGCACCAGTTGGCCCCTCCACCTGTTGGTCAGATGCACTGTTCTACACATGAATAAAACAGTCCATGGCATGCCATGTGAGTCCAGGGCCACAGATGAGTGTGCTGTGTTAATGTGCTTCCGGGGACAGTTTACTCTGTTAGATTGCTCCCAGATAGTGCCTGAGTACTGTTTTACCGTGAGAGGAAAGAACCATAAGGCACGTAGATAAAACTTGTGCCATGGCACTTGCCCTCTAGGCTAGACAGTAGTTCCTGGCCTGGTTTACTCAACAATTTAATCCAGCCAGAGCAAAGGCATTACTCCAGACAGCAATTTTACCTCCAGGAACAAAACTGCAGTTTGTTGCAGAAACTTGGTGACACAAAGAATTTCTGGTGTAATCGTGGTGTATCCGCAGCCTTAATGGGGACATTTTTTGTGGGCATCTCAAAAAGGAGCATTTTAAGGGAAGCAATTCAGTATGGTTTGTGTTGGCGTTTTCTGAGCCTTTAGGAGGCAGTTTTCCTGGTGCAAGGTGCATGCTTGAAAATGGAACTAGTGGGCATCAAAGGTTGAAACCATGGAAGAAGTGGGGATTGATGTCCTTTAGCTGCATTGGAGATGGCAATTAAGAGAGGGCAGGCTCTGAAGAAGACTAGAAATGGAGGGGAGGAGATTGATTTTTCATTGCCTTGCTATTTATATGCTAACATTTCCCCCCAGCATGAGATCTTTCTCATTTCCATATGCGCTCCAGGAATCCCTCTTGCCCTGTCATTTTGAATTATCATTCCCATCCTTCTATGTTTTCTTCCATTTATGCTTAATTCCTCTGTTTATAATTTTGTTTCTCGTCTCACATATAATTTCTTGTGGCCATCAGCCTTCTCTTAGAAAGCCCCCCATGTTATGCTCTTCTGCAAGCTTATGTGGGTGAGAATTGTTTGTACAATTGATCCCTCCATCAGCCCCATTTCAGTACAGATGCCTCGTGTATATGTGAATATGAGGATTGAGTCGAAAAACCTACACCTAATTCACAAACCAATTGTGATTTTCAAGTTGAAACTGTTGCAAAAAAATCATTTTCAAGCTAAATTTTAAGTAAACTCTTATTTGATAAAGTTTTGGTTGTTATTTAAAGGTATTTTTCAAATATTAGAAACATTTTATAAGAAGGTGTTGAGAGAATATAATATTGAAATGAAATTATTAGCCTGTATTATAAGCTTGTATTGCTTACTGCTTGTAAAGCTCTTGTTCTAAACAATTCACTGGATTACTGTGTTATGAATACTTTTCTCCCTTACAGTTCAAGTCTTCCCACCTGTTAACTTCACCCTTACAGTCTCTGCATTAGCACAAGTGCTTTTACAGTGGAAACCAAACCCTAATCAAGAACGAAAAAACTACACTATTAGATATGATGTGAAAATCCTAAGCCCAGTGCCTGAAGAGGTAAGATAAAAAATAAGTCCACTATCCTAAGAAGGTAAAATTCATGTTGAGTTAAACATGTTGCACCAAACCTGGGTGTAGTACACGTGATATGCCTCTTGAATAATTAGCATATCAAATCACTTATTCTCTTATATCATAAATATATAGTTTGAGCATTGGAGAGATTCCCTTTCAGCTACGCTTATGGTATAGCTCTGTTGGGACAAGGCTTAGCTTGGGTATTGGCAGTCTCAGTCTGCAGCGTTTATCTTGGGGGAAAGATGGATACTGGTTTTAAGTGACAGTGCTCCCTGTTCAAGTCAGCTCACTTAATTCACATTAATGCCAGGGTATCATTAAAATGTCAGATCATGTTTCATCACAGCTGTATGCCATAAACAAATTTTTGGTAAGGTAAGGTTCCTGCTGTCTTAAATGAAAAACCTTAGACACTTCTTGTGTGGATTATTTGTACTCTAGCTCTATACACTTAACGTAACCAGCCAAGGTAGCTGGCTGGTTTGCCTCTTTGCAAATAGGTCCCTTAATTTGGTTTCCATCACATGTGATGCTTATTTGATATTTCAAGTATGATACAAAGAAGACTCACAGTATCCGAACAGCTGCACTTCACAATGGTTTCTCGGCACACGTTCGAACATTACTTCTCCATAATGACCTTCAGATGAGAAGTGACTGGGTGAAGGAAAAACTTCCGCCTGCACTGGGTAAGAAGAAATGCAGGGGAGGTCTGAATTTTGTCTTCTGCCCCGCTCTGTGGATTAGACACCCAAAATGACAGGTTTAATACTTGAAAAATACAGCATTTCCCCTTATGCCTGCCACACTGATCTTACAAAATGATTTAGGCTAGGCCTTTATCTACTGCTATGGAGCCTGGATTACAATCTGGAGGTGCAGAACATGGGTAACCCATATAAAATTTTATATTATTTCCTTGCTAAAGCTAAGATAACTACTTTCATACACTAGGATTTTAAAAGACCATATTGCCTTGATGTACATGAAATATGTAATGGTGCTCTGTGGTACAGCTTTACTTACACTGTTTGGGAATCTTCATCCATCCATAACTGACAGACCTGTGTGATAAGGAAGAGAATTGGATACAATAGACATAGAAATAATGGACCAAAGGCTGTAGTCTAAGTGTTTTAGCAAGATGAATTTCTTACGACTTTTGTAGTAAGATTTTTCTTACTGCTTTATAATTCCTTGATTCTCTAGGTGATCCAGAGACATCTGTCACCAATTTGTCCTGTGTTACTCGCATTAGCGTTTTTAGTACTGTTTCTCTCCATTGCACTTGGCTTCCTGGCCAAGAAGCACCAGAAGATACCAAGTACTTCCTATTTTACAGGTTTGTGTTTTCTCCTATTTAAGTCAGTAATCAATTTCTTTAAGATCATCATGCCTGACAAGTATTTTAATTTAGGTATAAGACATACACTGAAGAATGTCAAGATTACATAAAAGACAAGTGGAACAGGAATACTGAATGCAGATTTTCAGTGACTCATATTGATCCTGAAGAGGTTGATAATCTCATTGTAATACACATTAACGGTTCTAGCAAGTATGCTGCAATCAAGCCTTTTCAGCAGCTGTTTAACCAAAATGCCATTGGTGAGTAAAAATACATTTAAAAAAATACTTACAGATGTCTAGCAGGATTCTGAAAAGATATTTGAAATAATACTTCTGGATTGGATGATTCTTGATGTCGGGGAGAATATGTGCTGGCATTGCATAGACATCTTAATGACATTCTAAGAGATTGTAAGACAGAAATGGATGGTTATAACTGAGTTTTTACTACCTTTTGTTTTAGTCATTCTTTAAAAGGAAAAAGACACATGGTATTGAAGATAACCATGTCCTTTTAAAAAAAGGCAGTAGAGTATTGAATAAAAGGTAGTGTCAGCCGTGACTCTCCATCATCTTTCATCTACCCAAATAATTTCTTTTCCTTCATTAGTTCCATGCCTTTCACTTTTTTGTTAACAGATATGATTTCCCCTTTTCATGGCTTCATTAAGATAAAACAATTGACATACTTTCTTCTTAGAAATCATCCCCCTAATAGCTGCTGATGCATTGCTTTGAATTTGTTTCAGTTTTCAATAACTTTCCTAGTTATGCCTTTTGTTTGCTTAAGTTTTTCTAACTGTTCTATCATTAATTTAATGCTTTTGTGAAAAGCAATTCAATAAATTCTCTCCCCCACCAGTAATCTAGTTTCCCAAAACTTCTAAATGGATTTTTAAAACTGTTTTCTCTTAACTATTTTCTGCAATGTAGTTACTCCTCCTAAATCCTTATCTTCTCTGTCCAAAAGGTGAAATAAATTCGAGGATTATAGGTCCAACTTGGAAACACTTATCAGGTTATAAAATGCTCCAGTTGCTAGTATTTAAACTTGGCTCTAAATAAATAACTTACCAGTACAGTTTTCTTTTTATAGAGAAAGTGAATGTTCCCAGAAATGTCACTGTATTCTTAAAGCAAAATGATCTCCTGGCCACATGGGAGAAGCCAATTTCTCCTTTCCCTAAAGAATGCTTTGAATATGAATTTTATCTCTTCAACTTGAAGTCAGGTAACAAGCAGGTAATTGCTACATAGCATTCCCTCTCTGAGCTGACTGTCTTATATAGTTAGAATTTGCCTTTATGCAACCTGGTCAAAAAGTTTCATATTTGTGGATATGTTACAAGTTTTAAAGCATTTAAAATGAAGCCTGCTATTAGAACATTTCTGAAACTATGGACTTTTGCTGAAACTTGTGTCTCATTTGTGACTGGGGTTCAGCAAACCCAAAGTCTTGTAAATTTCCGTGTTTTCCTTCTTCTTCTCCCACAAACTATCCCCCAAGAGACTTAGGAAAGCAGGACAAAATTTGCAGTTACTCAGTTTTATGCATCTGGGTTCAGATCAATAAGAGAATAGACAATGCTGAAAATTCAGCATGAAGTGACTTAAGGAAGAATGAAAATGTGGTATCTCTCAAGAATTTACCCTGAAATATTGGTGAATTATGAGAGAAATTACACCTTCTTATTTCAAAAGCAAGGCCAGATGCTCAGTTAATCTAGTAAAAGAGTAAAAAAAAATAAACACGAAGAAAGTTTGTTTTCTGATTTGCTTAGTCTTAAGTAATTTGTAACAGTATGATACTGTTTTCCTAACAGATACTGAAAATACCCGTAAATGACTTCAGATTACGGATTGATGTTACCAGCAGGTATTCCATACAAATTAGAGCTAATCATCACATATGTTGTACAAGAGGGTTTTGGAGTGATTGGAGTGAAATTATTTATGTTGGTAAGAATGATATGTTTCTGTCTTTAGTGAATATTATTACATTGCTGGAAAACAAATGCTGCCTAATCATGAGCATGCCAACTAAATTTAATAGAAGTCAGGAAAAGAAGTATTTGAAGAACCTAACTTGTGAAAGCTAAGGGGAGTTAAATCTGTGTTCCATTAAAGAAAAAAACCCACCACTTTTGGATATATGGAGGATTTTTTAGACTGTTTCGGTTTTACATGCTTATGTTCTCAGAAACTGCTTTAAATTAGCTGAAGTAAGTCCTAAGTTCTAGGTAAGGTCTTTTAGTTGCATTACTTCTTTAGTTTTTACATGCATTTTCCTGGCATGCATCGTGATGTTCATGCTGGAAGTTAATATGAGTGATCATGGCAACAACTACTCTACTGGAGCTATCTGAATTCTTAAATGTTGGAGGGAAAAAAGAGCATGGTTTTAGCATCCTAGGAATGTGATCATTTGCTCCACTTTGTTCTGTATTTCCTGCTTGCTGAACATGTTTTTCTGGAAATAACAGTTTCCTTATCAAGACACACTATCAACTGTTTTTTCTTAGACATCCTCCTTTGCTCTTATCTTTTGAGTTTCTTAATTTCCTGGTTTTCACTTAAAAAAAGTCCCTTACGCTCTCCTGTTTACTGTACTTTTTTCCCTCATATCTATTTGCTAGTGAATGCAAAGCTGCTGGTGTTTTGCCTCCTTACTCTAACATATCCCCTTGACCTTTCCACCTGGCTCCATGGCAGTGACAAGCCCTTGGGAAGAGAAGTTCAGCAACTCAACCACTGACCCAGGACTGGGGTGGGAGGCTGACCAAACATCTCATTAATTTAGAAAACTGAGCCTGTTTATTAGCCTCATGCATCTATCAGGGAAGTATTTGATGAGACTAACTTTAAGACCAGCAGAGCTCTTCTGAGTCCATATCTTGAGAAAAACACTGGCCTAGACTCTGCATCCTGTAGCTTTGCTAAAAGCGGAAGCACAATTCCGAATCCTTCACTCAGGCATTGGCAATCAAACCCCGGGAAATGCAGACACATGCTGCCAAAGTGGGTGTTGTAGAATTGCACCTCGATACCAGCTGTCTCTAGAAGAACCATTGCAGTCAAACAAAGCTAGATAAGAAAAAATCAGTGTGGATGAGTGAGTGGGACATTTTTCTCTTATAGAAAGGGTTTTTTAGAGGCTTGTTGTGAGTATGTCTCTGAGAGAAGTCCAAGCAGAAGCATGCTGGGCAGGTCCCCAGAGCCACGGTGCAGTGTCTGCAGTTCTTCCACACTCTGAGTTGCAGTGAGCATTGCCTGACCATACCTTTCTGAGGCCATTGCCAATTGATGATATAAGATGGAAAAGGCTTAGGACCCTTCTATTTTTGGTTTGGAAAATTGATACTATTCCCACCTGTCATGCCGGATAGCTTAAAATTGGTTTGTGGGACTTAACCACTTTGCAGTTTGCTGCCCCAGTCATCCTCAAGACTTACACAAAACACAACTCATTGACAATTACATCCTAAATCACATTTTCTAGAGAGAAAAGTGGTAACCCTGAAGACAAAATAAACCATCCTAACCCAGTTTTAATTACAAGGTTGAAGGTTGACTGTGTGCTCCATCAGGGTGCTGTGGAAGTGCAGGATGGATTGCACAGGCCTGCTTGTAGTGTCATCCACATGCTGCTCTCTGGACTGCTGTGCAACCACAGCCATCAGCAGAGACAGCAGGCTCAGCTGCTCATTTCTCAGAGACAAATCTGTCCACAATTGAATATTGTTTTGTCTACAGCAGCAATAAACCCAACACTCCTGCTGCTGGCTGATTTATGTCCTTTCAATTACCCAGTAATGGCAGTGCTGACACCTTGATGCATAGAACAGGTAGTTATCATAACTTGGCAGCCTTTTGAAAATGCACTTCAGTGTAAATGTTTTGGTTATATTGCATAATGTGGCACTGAATAATGGCCCTGGCCACTGAGCAATGCCTTTTTAAAACAGAAACACTGACCTTGATAGAAATATCTGTGTCTGCTCACAGACAGACACAGTAGAGAAATTCTTCCTGAGAAAATGTATCAGAAACCAGCTCTCAAGAAGAATGGGGTGTTCACTGTCTTCTTTACAGGCAAGTTTAGGAAGCTAGAGAAATACAGTTCCTGGCTAGAAAGGGTTAACAGAAACTGAATAATGGTTTAATGGAAAACAAACAATTTGTGCCTTAGATTATTAACAAACAGCGTCTTTGCTGAGTACCAGTTGTGCCCTCACTGCATGGCACTGTGTGTCTTGGGACAGCAGCTAACGGACTGTATCGACCTTCTGGTGGGCCTCACTCCTCATGCTTCTTGGCTCTTTTTTCCTTCATGTCAAGATTAAATAAATGTATTGTTGAAACTAGAAAGTCAGTTTAATGGAAATTGTTCGTGAAGCTCTGCCTTTCATTTCTAATTCCAGATAGCAGGTCTTCACTGTTTGCATGTTAATTTGTGATCTGAATATAATCACATAAAACAGCTGATGAAGTATTTTGTAAGAGTGTGCTTAAAATAATCTGCACTAAAATAATATCTTTTTTCTTTGAAATTCAGGGCAAAACAAACTGGAGAATTCCACAGTCTGGATTCTCTCTGTGCTTTGTGTGTCCACATGCTGCACATTCCTGCTTGTTGCTATAATATGCAAAACGTAAGTATTATCGTCTTCTGCTTAATTACCGAATAACTAAGGACTAGGTGCTTTACAAGTGTGTGGGGATGTTACCACCTTTGCTTAATTTTAAGAAAGGGCACTTCTGTACTGAAGCATAATTACACACAGCAAAAGTACTGAATAAGTAGTAGTCAGCCTCATTAATTATCAATAATAATATTCAACAACATTGGTGGAATATCAGAGTTATTCAATTCAATCTTCAACGACAAAACCATATGCTGATTGAGGTGAATTTGTTAAAAATCTGTTTGTCATGATCTCATGTATTCACTTAAATGGATTTGGTTGGGTCAGTGATTTCCCCAGGAGGATTCTGTCTTTAACCATAGTGAAAGCTGCTGAGAGCATCTTTCATGGCTAAAATGTACAGAGCAGTGTTTTCTTAGTCTTGTCTAGCTCAGTTCACAGACATGCCCTACACTGAGCTCTGGGCATGGGGTCTGAATTTCAGCTGACATCAAGGAGTAGATGCTCTGCAGAGGTAAAAATTAAGTGCTTTTGTGCTTGCAGCTTCTCCTGACATTTAACAGGAGCAAGTGCATTAAAATATTGGTTGCTTTGTGGTTTTGAGTAATTTGTTTAGTTTAATTACTACAGAGGCTATGGGTGCTGTGTAGTAAAAGCAGATGTCATTTAGCCAAACTCCTCAAAATGTGCTGTAAAGAAACCAGATATACTTTGGATTTCTGTAGCTGTGACTAGTCAAATCATAAGCAATGAATTAAAGACTCAATCTCATTGCAAGCTTCTCCCCTGAAACATGCAACAAGCAGCAATTATCAGTCCACCGTAAATACAGCTCCCAGTAATGAAAGTGCTGTCCTTGACTCTGCTAATTTCTTATTCATTTCTTTAACACCTTTTAATTTATTGGTCATCTTGATGTGCTCTTGGCTATTTTCCTTTCCATACCACATTTCCTATATCACATAAAGTTCTTGTCTACAGGAATGTTACATTAGAATATCTGTTATTAACTCTCCCTAAAATGTCTGTTGTCTATGATAACCTGTTCTTAAGTCAATTTAATTAGCATAGCAAGTCTCAATAAGCAATCCTTTTTGGAACAAGACAGATTAACTCCCCAGAGAGTTTATTCATGTGAGTCATGCACACTTAATCCCAGCTATGCAGTCCTGATGTATTGGTGGAAATCCCCAAACCACTCACATCACTGATTCTTTTACAGATTGACCTGTCCATATAGCTGTAGGTCCTCCACTGCTCTGGCATCATCTTCATTAGCTCTCTCCTCTCTCTTTGGGACAGCAAATCAGCAATACCAGTTAGTTCCAACACCAGTTAGTAGCAGTCGTGTTTTCCTATGGAGTTCTGCAGGTATTTGGATGTTACGCAGTTTTCCCCTGCAGAGATCCTGAAGCAGAAATAGAGAGAGAAATAGGTATTGGGGAAGACTTCTGCTCAAGGACCAGCTTGAAGATGGTGTACCAACGCATTTCATGAACTTTAATACATTAGGCAAATTTAAGATGGCTTTTCAAGGTCCAGCTCCTTGATTGGTTGCTTCTAAGAGTTTCTCTCTGCCTGGCTGGTGTATAATTCCCTAGCACCCAAAGGCTTATGACATTTTATTTTTGCCCAATGTGATTAACATTTTATCTGCCTGCCGCACTAAATTTCATGAAGTTGCTAGCTTTACTCCACTGCAAGATGCTTCTTGCTCAGAGTCCTTGCCACTTCTCTAATACCCCAGCCTGCCCTGGGAGGAGATGGGAAATGTAAGATGAAACACAGTGCTTAGCCTGCTCATTTGTTGTATCTGCAGATATTTATAAAAGAAAAACAGAACAGGTTCCCTAGATCACAATTTCATTGGTATTCTCAGTTTTTACTGCTTTTGAAAATTCATAAAATACACCATGCAGTTCAAACACAGAATAATTTCAAATTTTATACAATTTAAAGCCATTGTAAGTAATTCTGTTATAGCAAAGAGTTCTATAAATTTCTCTTTGTACTTCCTGGTGATTACAGGCATCAGACATACAGAACACCATTTGGAAGAAATGCTACAAGGCAAGGTAGCCATTTAAGAGTGTTTGGATAGTCTTTTCTGTTCACTTCCTTGCAGTAGCTGATAGGGTTACTGTCTTGATAAAAAACATAATTGAATGTTTTCCTGGTTTGACCTCTGTCTTTATGAATGAGCATAATCTGTATTTCCTTAGGCTGTGCCTTGGAATACCATTTTGTCCTGGAGGTGAGCCTACAGGAGGATGTAGATAATAACTTGCTCCCAGCTGCTCTCCACTTAATTGACGTGAGGACAGTCAGTAGCCCTCCATAACCTGAAATCAATGTGGTCATCCTGACCTCCACCCTCCCTCTTCTGCAGCCCACATTCAGCAGCCAGCAGCCACCTGCTGTGGGAAATCCTTTGGAAAATGTCATGGGAATCTCAGAGGAGGCAAGACGCTAGAAAAGGCACTCTAATGTCCTGTGGAAACAAATATTTTATCAATATCATTGTAGCGGTTAGAAAAGGAAAAAGAAGAACCCTTTCTCCTACGTGCTTCTCTTTGGCCTTTTCACGTCACAGCCTGTGGGAAAGGTGGCAAATTTCAGAGAGATACAGCACAGTAACTGGAGGCTTGAAACATTCAGTTGAGGCATAAGGGTCCTGTGGGGTGTTTTCCAAATCCTGAAGGTCCAAATAGTGATAATGGAAAGGGCCGTGCTCTAACCTGTGAAGAGACAAGCAGAGTTATCTGGAATGCATTTTGAGACAAGATATTTAATCACATAGCTCCAACTTTTCAGTGTCCTACAAAAAAGAACAGGACTATTCTAAGGGCACCACTGTCACCACTCCACCAACGCCTCACTGCAAAGACTCTTGCACTGGAGGGGCAAGCAGCCCCCAAGGACACGAGTGTCCTGCCTCATTTCTGTTGGGCATTTGTGCACCCCTCCTTAAGTGTTTCTATTCCAGAAGCAAAGTATAACTTACGCATTTTGCTGACTCAATAAATAATTTTGATATGGCTCCATCAAACTCTTCTGTTGACAAACAGCACAACTAGAAACATGCCAATCCCCAAACCCCCAAATCTTGTTGGTTACACTACACAACAGAAGCAAAATTTGACGCGTGTCCTCACATCAAAATCACACTCAGAGCTGAAATAAGGTGAAATCATGTGGCCTCCACAGCCTTCCCTCTGAGAGGCTTTGGAGACCCAATCTTGGGCAGGAGCTGTGAAGACAACAGTGCTTGCACAGCTGCGATCAGAAAGACCTACCCTTAGCAGGAAAGCTGTGAACAGTAGATATGATGCCAGGTGCTGGCCCCACTCCTGAGTTACACCAGCAGCCACCTTACTGTCCCAGTCTGCTGCCAGTGACTGCACAGCCTGACTTGTCTTCTGCAGCCAGCAATGGTTGGACTGCATTCAGCATTTCAACAAAGTGGATGCAAATGTCTCCTAGAAACAACTCACACCTGCTTTTCCTCCTCATATTCCCATTTCTGGCTGTACACCTGAGTCACAAACTCATGTGCAGAAATGGGTACACATCCTATAGCTTGCTTGGTTGGGTCTATTGTGTGAGCAGTGGTATGGCCCTTCCTTCACCTAAAAAGCATTAATGTCTCCTTTAGGGCAGCAGCATCTCAGGCAGAAAGGTTTAGCTCCAAACTGATAGTAAGAAAATATTATTTCTCCTCACTTCCCTGGTGAGGAGGAATAATAGGATAAAAAAAGCTTGACAGAACTCAGCTTTTGGAAGAAGAATAGTTGTAAGACCATAAGCATTGAACTAACCAGACATCAGTCAGGAGAGCTGTTAGAAAATAAACCAGGTATATGGGACTTTGAGCAGCCTGGTCTAGTGAAGAGTGTCCTTGTCCATGGCAGCGGGTTTGGGCTAGGTCATCTTTAAGGTCCCTTCCAACCCAAACCATTCTGTGATTCTATAGTCTGTCCTTGGTCCCAACAGATAGAGCTCTGCACCTTGGCCACACCTCTGTTTCATGGATCAAGTGTAATCTCCACTCAGCTACAATTTCCCATTAAAATCTGGCCCTATTTAGATATCGTGCTATCCAGGAGTAGAGACAGTGAATGTTTTTTGGCAACTGAAATGTAAAATCTGTACTCTGGAATATATCAAAGACAAGAAAAATTTCATTCTGCAGTTCTTAGTATCACACAAATACATACACCTGCATGCTTGAGCCAGACCAAAGCATGTCAGACAGGGAAGGAGTATCATAAAGGGTGTTAGCAACATGAGTTATTACACCACTAGGCAGAACCGTTTATTGTCAGTCATCTCTGATCCCATTCCTTGCCTCCTCCTTGTTCCCTCTGCACACCATTGTTTTTAGTTGCTCTCCTACCACCAGACGCAGGCAGATTATGTCCAGAAACCAAAGGCTGGGCAAGAGGCAGCCTGTCTTGACTGTCCAAACAAGATACATGACAATGCAGCCCTTGGGAAGAACATGAGCATGAACAGACAGATCAGAGTAATTAATTTCTCTCCAAGACAGACCTGTTGCTGGCCAGTAAAAGACATGGCAGTGCCCTGTGGATCAGACATCCTGGCTTTTGGCTGCGGCTGTGATGGGAGAGGCTGACGGGGGGAGAGAATCATCCTGCCTCATCTTTGTCATTTGCACGTCCCTAGGGTCCAGAAGTGTCCTGTGAGGAACAGCACACCTGCCCAGTCCTCAGGGTTTCTGCTGGCTGATCATTAGCCATTACTTTGACCCCTTTTGATCCTGCTGCTGCGATCAGATCCTGATGACTGAGTGCGAGGCAGGCAGGAGGGCTGGTGGTGAGAGGGAACAAGCCTTCTCATGGGGCTAAACATGTGCTGCTTGTTGGATACGTCATGTATCAGAAAAAGCAATTCTTTCACATCACTACTGTTTTTTTCAGAAACCACGTATGGAGTAAACTCTTCCCACCAATTCCAACACCCAGCAACAAATTCAGAGGCCCCTTCCCAAATAACTACGAGGTAAAACAACATTTTAGTCACTTGTTTCTTTTTTTTTACTACAAGGAACGCTGTGTTTGTGCAGTGCTCTTTCCCTGGAAGGTTGGGACCATGTAGACCATTATTCCTCAGTTAAAGCCTTTGACGTCTTAGAATCTCTAATGTCCATACTAGATGTGGACTACGATGTCAAATGTGTTGTGCAAAACATGCCAAGTGGGAAATTCAGTTAATGTAATGATATGCATAGCCTGACTATAACATAGACACGGAATTTAGCAATCTGTGAGGCTGTTCTTGCAATCATTAACTACTGTGGTCAGTTCTCACGTAGCTATGTGGCCACCTCTTCTGCAGAGGGCAGGTCCCCATCTGCAGTAGCTCTTCATCTGGCTTTGTTTGTAGATGAAATGTTTTGGGGAGGGTTAACAATGAACAAAAGGGTGAAGTGCTTTTCTAATATGTGACAAATTTCATGTGCATGGTATGGTATGGCTTTGCCTTTTGTATGGAAATGCAGTTGCTCCTTCCACTGAGCACAGCCAGGCAGATAGCTCTGCCTTGGACTGGAGGCTGACACCTGGAGAGCTGATTTATTTTGTGAAACCTAACAATGGGCAATGTTGTGGTCCTACTGTTGAGCTGATCTTAAGCCTTATTTTGTTTGCTGTTACTTCCTGATAAATACATTTGCCTTACAGATAAGATAAAACTCCTCATTGTCTGCTCAAGGGAAGTGCTGCTCAGTAGCTTGATTTTAATTTGTCCCCTTAGAATAGGGGTTTGATTTTTTGTGTATTGTTCTTATTCCATGGTCTGGTCAGGGAAACAGGCTTAAAAGATTATCATATAATATTTGTTTTTAATTAAAACCACTGGTGTAAAGTAACATGACTTAGGGTATCACAAATAAGAATACGAGAAATAGCAAATAGTAGCACTGCAGCTAGAATACGTGAGCATGCAAAGGCTGTTTCTCATTATTAAGAAGCTTTGCCTTGTTTTTAACTGTCTCTTTACTCAGAGCTAGCTCAGTGCAGGTAGGCGATACTGGCTTGAGGCTTTCTACTGGCACCGTGGCTGCATAGGCAGTGACAGTGGCAAGGAGAGGTGAGGACATGGCTCTGCTAAGATCACCAGGAAAGTGAACCTTCAGCAGCTGTTTGTTGTGTGCATTCAGTTCCTCAATTTGCAGTGTAAACAGCTGGACAACGTGACAAAAGCCCTGCACAGTGATGGCAGCGTGGCCCTTGAAACTGCGCTTGGCTCTGAGGAGCAGCTCTGCCTCTCGCTGAGCTACTGCCTTCTGCTTCCTTCTGCGAGTCACCCCATCTCTGCACACTTGTTTGTGCACCCCACTCAGAAATCACTGAAACATCCCTGTGTTATCAGCACTGTTTCCATCACAGATCCAAAACACAGCCCATACTAGCTACTACAAAGAATATTAACTCTATCACAGCCAAAACCAGCACAACCTCCCTGTTCACCAGCTAACGGCAGTGTTTGCTTTCCAGAGAGCACGTACCTGCACCAGTGAGACAGAAACCGAATTCAGTAGCTTTGCCGAAGATCTCTACTGCAATGCCCTTGATGACTCTGTCTTCTGAGAGCCTGCAGGGCTGGTGAGGCTGGTGGCCCTGGCACGTCGCTGGAGTGGGCTTCACGTCACCTCTGCTGCAGCAATGTTTCCTGCAGGACAGGAGGACTTGCTTCCACAAGGTGCCTTGCATCAAGATAAGCTACTCAAGAAAATGTCTCAGTTTGTACAGTCTGCACAAAAAAAGTAGGCATTTTTAATAACTTGGTTTCCCTGGGGCTTAAAAGCATCCCCAGCTTTTGGCTGTGTGAAGCTGGTGGGTGCTGCGAGACGCCGACTTCAGTATGAAACGAGAGCTTCACTTTTCCTCACACTCCTTTCTGAATGAGGGAATGTCTCTGGAGTGGTGGGCTCTGAAAGAGCAGCTGTCTGCCTCCCTGACTTCTCACTCATGTCCAATCCAGGGCTCCTTTGCAGGCTCTTGCCTTTGACATGAACTGGCAGCATCTACAAAAGGACAAGAAGAGATTGTTTGTGCTTCCTGGCACAAGAGGTTAAAGCTTAAGGGGAGAAAAAAAAACAAAACCAGAAAACAAAAAAGGCACAGACTGCAAAACTTCCTGAATTGCACCTACAAAACAAAACACAGCCTGGGAGTGCAGAGTTTTCAGCTGTACAGCAGTTAAGGAAATGTGCCAAAGACTTCTCGGTGCTCTTAAAAAGGCTGAGCTGCAAGGAGCTGGGCTTCTCCTTCATGCAGAGCTTCATCTGATTTCAGGTGATTTTGAAAATCCAGACCCAGTACTGGAACTGGTTTTCTTCACTGCTTTTCCATCTTCAGTGAACAGGGTTTGGACAGTGTCAGTTTCTGTTGATGGTTTATTTACTTATCTTGTGTCCTCCACTGAGTGAGTTACCAAATAAACCTCCTGGCTCAAACCTCTGGAACAACTCAGGCTTCAACCTTCCTGGCTGTGGACCACAAAGCTCTTCCCTTCTTGCAAAGTCCCTGCTACTTCCAAGCAACCTCCTGCCTCTTGAGCTGGGCAGTGGTGAGGTTTAACCCATTAACAAAGAAAAAAGAGAAAGATTTGACCCAGCAAGTAAACTGTTTGGGAAAGTGCCTGAGGTAATGGAGTTCCTAGGAACTACAGACTAGAAATAATGAATGAGCCAGCTCTCATCTGGGTGAAATAGCATGGCTCCATCAAAATTAATGTAGCTCATTAATAGAACAATGTTTGTGCCTCAGACGTCTCTCCTGTATTGTGATTTTAATGGATTTGGGGAGCCCAGCTTTAACAATCTAAAATCAGAATTTCATCAGTAAAATCCTAAAAAATGAGACTAAAGAGAATTCATTTACGGTGATGTATTTTATGTCATGCCTTCAAGTGGCCTAATAAATAAGATTTCTAAATACAATTTCAGTCACATTAATGGCAAGATATTGCAGAGATTAAAGCAATATATTTAAGCATATTTTGCATTTGAGCTGTACCTCTGGCCATGTGAATACTAGTGAAGGCAGCAGCAGCCTCAGGAGCCAAGGCATTTCCAGTAGCTGGCAGGGAAAAACGTGCTTTTGCTTTTTGGTGTCATCTGTGGTAAGGACTTGCATCACCACAAAGCAATGCAAACAACTGCAACAAGCTGATTATGGTGAGAAAACCTGTGCAGATGTTCATCCAGTCAACAATGGCACATCAGGTCCTTGGGATGAGTACCCCTGGCGACAGGCAGGGCTTGAAGACTGGCAGGTATGCGTTATACTCGCACTGGTAAATAAAACAGCTGTTGTAAAGCAGCAGGAGTATCTCCATTCTCCCTGCCAGGCCGCTGGTCCAGCCTGCTCATCCTTACTGGCAGCCCAGCGCTGCCCCTTGCAGGGGTGTAATGGGGGAACCTCTCACCTTTGGCAAAGAGCTACCATGCAGAACCAGGAAAGCAATTCCTGGCAGAGCTGCTTCCTCACAGCTATCATACCCAGAGCAGACTGCTGTCCTTCCAGGCGGTGGGAGAGGAAAGGGAGCATGTTCAGTGCATCCCAGAGAATCTGCTGTCACTGCCAAATGCAGGTCTGCAGTGGGGAATGTGTAGAGCAGAGGCCCTGCTCAGGGCTGCATGTCACATTCTGCCACTCTTGCCCAGCCCACCCTGCCGATGAAGGTTACTGCGCTGATTCTGGAACAGAGTTATGAGTTCTGTGTCCAGAGCATAAATAAATGATTATTCTGAATGTCTTTTCTTTAAACCCAGTTACAAACCTCATGTGTTCCTCCCAGTGCAGCTTTTTCCTGCTGCCTCCACAACAGCAGCTGCAGGAGTGCGTCCCTCACCCACCTCTACCCATGGCAATGTTAAATTTGCCTTTTAAAAAAATGAACTACGTCTTGGGGTAATTTAATTTTTTGGCATCATTGATTGCAAAGCACAACATTGCTCCTTTGCAATGCAGAACATGACTCTACAACTCCTGCACTGTCAACCCTAAAATCCAGAACTAGGAATGCAGATTTGGTGGGTTTAGCAATTTCAACCAACACTCCCCCAAATCCTCAGAAGTCTGCAGGTGGGGGGGTTTCTCTGGGTCCGGGTCAGCTCCTGAAGGAAGCTGCTGTCTCCCACCCTGCTCCGGGGTGGTTGCAGCCAGACCCATGATCAGCAGGAGGGTAATGCTAGTTTTGCCTTTTTGTTTCCAAACTGCTGAAGGCCCCACTCTGACAGTACCAACCCACACAAGTTTGGAGAGGTTGTGACTCTACATCAATAGACATTAGAATCATAGAATCATAGAATAGTTAGGATTGGAAAGGACCTTAAGATCATCAAGTTCCAACCCCCCTGCCATGGGCAGGGACACCTCGCTCTAAACCATATTACCCCAAGGCCTTGTCCAACCTAGCCTTGAACACTGCCAGGGATGAAGCATTCACAGCCTCCCTGGACAACCCATTCCAGTGCCTCACCACCCTAACAGGAAAGAATTTCCTCCTTATATCCAATCTAAACTTCCCCTGTTTAAGTTCTAACCCATTACCCCTTGTCCTACCACTACAGTCCCTAATGAAGAGTCCATCCCCAGCATTCCTATCACATTATCACCCCAAATTCACTCATAAATATTTTTTTTTTGTCAATTTGGAAGCAGAATGAGACCAAAGATTTATAAATAGACTTTTTTCTTCCTGCCTCCACAAAGTTTCAACTTAATCCAACAATTCTTTGGTATCTTCATGTCAGTGACCATCTCAGCAGGCACTGGCTACTGCAGTGATGAAGTTTGTTACTGGGCAGAATGACACACGGAGGAAAAATGATCCTGGAAGACAGGTATCTTTACAAATGACAGAATATTTATTACCAATACCTTTAAAAAAAGATTACATCTGCTAGATCACTGATAAATATCATTTACACTGGGGAGAAAACTACAGAAGCTTCTTTTTTTTGTTCAATTTTTCTTGGTTTTGTAGTTTTTTTCTGTTTTTTTTCCTGTTTTTACTTTTTACATAGAAGTAACCATATCAAACTAAGAAAGGAACACAGCTTGAAATACTGACAATATTTCTCTGGTCAACACCCCTGACTTTTACACAAGTGGAATCCTGATTATGAGTTACTGAATAAATATATTTAGAAGGTCTAAAAGTTAACTGTATTATTTTGTAAGCAAAAAAGACAAGTTACAGGCAAATTCAAGCTATCAGGAAAAAAAAAAGTAATAATATACCACTGCAGCGCATTTAAACTTGAAAATTTTATAGAAAATTCCATTTCCTTTTACTAGCATTATCCCATCTGAGTGAACTTACAAAATTACCCCATAGTAACAAACGGTCCTTCTCTTAAGAAGAATTATTTTGCTGTGGATATTGTCGTTTTCCGGTGTGACTCTATTTTGCCTCAGGTGCCAATGAAGAGTTTTCATAAGGAAATACAGACTTCTTAGGAGAGAACTACCAGAGATCCCACCTTGCCATGGACAACCCACACCTCTGTGAAGCACGGCACAGCTCCTCTGAGGCTCCTGGTCCAGACCAGACTTCCCAATAGTTTTCTACATGGTGGCATATGAAGGATGATGAGTTATGTTCCAATGCACATGGAAAGCAGCGTGTGTTTGGACAACAAGCCCAGAGCAGCTTTACATCTTGGAGTCGCTGTATCCTGATTTCCTTGGAGTAAAATCTCCCAAAGCGAGGTGGACTTCACTGGCTTTACACCCAAAGGTGAGAACCATGTTGTTGGATTGCTCCTTCAGGTTCCTTTTTGTCACTTGAGGCAGAGATCGCACCTTTGCAGTATCTTTCATTCCTACCCAGTTTAATGCTACTCATGATAAAGACAAAGTTATTTCAAAGCAGTAAAATGGACCCTTGCTGCACAATGCCAGAATATTAGCTACATGTCCTGTAGTCCACAAGCAACCAAATTTCGTGTACTTTTTCAAGGTTATAGTGTTCTTACTGAGTATTTAGAGTTTGACTTGCTTAGACCTCTGAATAAAATGTAACATCTTGTGTGTTATAAGCACTTGATTTAACACAAGACTCATCATAACTGCCAGTTAACTACAGCCGCGTTACAAACCCAATCTGTAACAGGTCTGCCTTGTGTAGCCTTGTAAAACTGTACAGTAAAGTTGCAGCCAATTTACTATGAACAACGTTGAACTCTCCATCAGAAAGGAAAAAATTCCAAACAATATTTCCATGGTAATGTCGTCCATAGCATTTTATAGCAGAGGAAAAATTAATATCTACATCATATGTTAACTTTAAAAAATTCTATAAAACACTAAATATATAATAAAAAATATGCATATAAGGACATATGTAAACTGCTTTGGTAACATCATATTACAGATGTTTTCAGTGCATTGCAGAGTTTCCAAGGAAACTTCAGACAAAGCTATATTTGCTTTGAGGAAGTACTGTATAATGCCATTCCTAAAGAAGCATAAACATTTTTCCAGTAGTAAGATGTACTCAAACCACAATATTACTTAGTACTGGGTGTCTTCAAAACAACTAGCTAAATGTTGCTTATATTATAAACAAGAAGTCCTTTATGTGATTTTTGTCATAAACTGGAGCGAGCTGTGAGCGATATCATTATCGTGCTGATGGCTGACAGTGTACAGGCATTGGAGGTGGATGAGCCGGATCCTCTTGCGTATGCATCTGAGCAAAGGAGAGAGGGGAGAAAATGAGCCAGCAGTGACAAGAGCAGCCCTCA